AGACAGAGTCTTTTTAATATGACTAACTAAAATATTCCACGTCATTTTGACCTACAAATTCAGTTCCTTTTTATTTTGACTTTTTATAAGTCAATGTGTGACCTTAAAATTTTAGGTTGAATTAACTTTAATTATGTCAATTATTTCTCTTTTTTTTTTCACAAACGATTATTATAGACAAGCATTGTGTTTGGTAACTGTGTTGAAATCTAGATTTGCTCTCTTACTTCAGCAAGAGCTGGGAACAATAAAATATTGATTAGTATCAAAAGGGATAAGACATGCAAAACAATCTGTCGTAACAGACTCCACACATTATACATATACCCTTCAAAGCCGGAACTTTCATTTCAAATAGTGTCACTTAAATCAATTGACATCAACATGAATTTGTGCAAGTATGCTTTGAATTGTACAAGCAACGAGGCAGACTCCATTTTGGAGCACAATGCTCATACACCTCACCTACAGCCGCTACCACCATTGTAATGAAACCTTGCTTACTATCTGACAAACTTCATCTAGATCTGGTACTCAATAAGGAAACAACTCGGTGATACATTTGATGATTAAACTCGTGTTCTTTATTTGGTCTGTCACTTGCTTACACTTTCACTCATCTCCCAACTCTGACTTCTCCCTGATATCTAGTTCTCAGTCCGGCCGCCTTCTCTATGTCCGGCCGCGCTCCCTTTTTCTAACCATCCAGAGATCCCTATTTATACCTCCCCATCTCATAGTTCCTCTCCCAGTCCAGGCGCCAGGTCTAGACGTCCCAGGTAAATGCCCTGGTCAGATGGCTTGATCCGTCGATCGTGATCCCTGGTCAGCTGGTGCCGGCTGTACCTGTCAGACGGTGTCAGACGGCCGTTAATCCCTAGTCAGACGCCCCGGCTGAACTCTCCACACTACCCCCATCTTACAAAACAATGTCATCCCGACATTACACAACATCCCCGTTAAAATTTCTTATGATTGGTTTCTAAATGGCTTCAAGTGACTTGGACCTTCAGCATTCATTTACAAACAGCTCACAGTAATACACGTGACGTCATTCGCTTGGTTCTAATACGTCTCTTGTGTAAAACAATCCTACCCGTCGCCCTACCTTCGAATACGACAATTGAATTCAACGGACCCTCAAACGCGGTCTCCTAACAATTCTAGTCAAGATCAGGGTCAGTTGGTGTCAGTCAGAGCGCTTCTTACACTCCCACAATCAGACAATTTTGATCTAACAGCGTTCAGCTAACAATGAATAATACAACATTTAGAGAATACAAAATCAACAGCAAATCAAGTATCACAGTAATCAATGTTAAGCCTCTCAGAACCGAATAAAATTCAAATGCAAGAAAATAATGATTGGTTACAAAAACACCTTCAACTCAAACCCTTCATTTCAAACTTCAACATAAAAAAAA